TAAGACCTCACCTTGACAACATATATATAAGATGATGAGAACGTTAATTTTGTAATTTGTCGACCCACTACTCTGTTTTAATTGTTGTGATGGGTCATTTACTTTTAATTTGTAATAAAATAATTTCTTACTTGGTTTCAACCATTATTTTTGTCTGTCTCTTCCATGCAATGGTCCATGCCTACATTTTGGAAACGGCTCACCATGACCTGAATATTTATTATAGATTTCCATTTGGCTGCTATCATCTCCCTGTCTCCACTTCGAGTTGACAAGGAGCACCAATACATATGATTTACCAAACTCCTTCTCCATAAGCCAACATCTTCACATCCTTTCAGTTGAGACGGAGCATTGACCTTTATTTCAAACCTGATAAAAAATATAATTGTATCATGTAGCTCTGATATTTGTGTTTTTGGAGGAGGGTATGGCAAAGTGAATATACTGCGTTGGACCAACTATTTTAACAAATTACAGTTTTTTGGTAAAATAATCCAACTTCAAACTAAGTGTTGAAACACAGTTTCTAATGGTCTACCATTAGCATACCAATAATCATATTTTATTGAAAGCATGATTGTATGGAATAGTTACCTTTGGCCACATGCCATATTGATGCACTGCCTCGGGTATCTCCTCTCTCATGTATTTTCCAATCTGCCTGTCTGTTATCACCACACCTATGTCAGCGTGTTCTTTGAGAAATGCAACACTCCTTTTTAGTCCCTCCATCTCCATGTGGTAACTTCCACCTACTTCATTAGACTTGGTTTGCAAAAACAAACAAACATGGAATTAAAATGTACTGATATTCAACAAACTTTCACAATATTACATTACCAGTAACAAGAAATATTTGAAAACAATTGACCAATAAAAACCTGAACAAACTGGATATCTACCACCTTATTCATTTGAAGTTTCATGGTAGTATATGATCATATTTTGCTGAATGTCCAGGGCTGTCTATCACCTCCAATTACTAGGGGGTCAAAATCCCTGAACTCCCCAACCAGTCTGTTTTGAGGTTTTTTCCAGATTGTATGCCAGTCATTCTGATGATTCAAATATGTCCGACTTGTAATGGCCATGCAGTTGAAGTGTCTGAATACTTTCAAAACTTTCCCAATGTTGGCGCCAGCAAAGAGGACTGCTGCGGAGAGAAGTATATTTCCAACTGGTGTATTTGATGACAACACATGAACCTATGGTTTGCTTAACAGTACCACTAGTCTCCATTCTGCATCAACATATATGCTGAATAGCTGAAGAAATTGGTTTCAAGTGAGGCTTCTGGCTAGGCACACTGAAATTACATGAAAATATATTTAAACATTCATTCGATATTGTGCCAGAACACATCGTGTAATGGTGACTTACTGATCTGAGGCAGCAGTAGTATTCATGCTGTAGTCATCTTGCATTTCACTTGGATGATACAAATTGTAATTCTGGTTGTCATCTTCACTTCCAGAGATTCATCATCACTATTTACAGGCGTAGATGTGCAGGTTTTTCGGCATGCATGTTACATTGAATATACTGTTTTGAGACTTTTGGTTTGATGTTTGTCTGTTGGCCTAGACACAAAAATGAACAAATAATATGAATATTAAAAATATGAGATTTATTGCTGCATAGTACCAAAACATAAAAAAAAGTTATGTAAGGGGTATTTAAAATTCAATATCGTACAGAAGCAATTACAAAAATCAAATGACGGAGAATTTTTTTTTTGCATATTACCCAATTACTTTATTTTCTCTCCCAGATTTCAAATGGGTGACACATAACCCAAATAATACTGTCACATGTTTCACTGGTGGTGGGGGTCGAAACGGTGAATTGCGTATTTGAGTGTTTACGCAATATACGGGAAAACATACACACAAGAGTTTGATCAATTGTGGTTGATGATAGTCTCGTATCTTTAATTTATTTTATTTTATTATAAATAACAACATATCATAGAGAGGTTAAAGACACAACTTTTAATAGGGATGCATAACTTCCTCATACATGTAAAATTCTAAAGTTGACAAAAATGACTGCACGTTTATCTATAACTCAT